GCCGTTTACGTGTGGATGAAAGGTGCAAACGCATAGAAAAATCTGTGTTTTCAAAAATACCCGTGTAGGTGTGGACGCAGCCTCAGTGAAAATCAGTCAGTGTTTTAGAAGGAAGTAGAGAAATATAACAGCCTTTCATTCCTAATGTGTGGTGTAGCAAACATTTTGTGCTGCGTTTGCCCTTTGTCATCTTTCTGGTTACATATTTTACGATAATCGTGTTCCTTTTGTCAAAGTATAGAAATGTAACATTGGCATAGATAAAGTTCTGCTTTGTATGTGGATTTGTGACGCTTCTTCTCCTTTTACCCAAGTAATATTCATAATCTAGGTAAAACAGAAGTAAAGCAAACCTTATAATTACCTGCTAAAAATGTGTTCTGATGTGTTCTGTAGAAGAACTTTAGATTTGTCCATTATTGGAAGAGCAGCTCCTTCGGTTTTGTGTAGGTCCGTATTTGTCAAGGATCATTTTTTCCAAATCTCAAATACTTGTTAACTAAACATTTATGAAACTAAATGTACAGATGATAAATAATTGTTTGGCCAACCTTGCTTAAACAATAGTGAGGCTTAGGGACCCAGATGTCAAATGGGATTAGGCTTACATCCATGGAAGCGGAAAAAGAATGGGATTATTAGGATTTTCCGAGCCTGTCAGTGTCAGTTTCTCTCTCATGGCTTGGGGGAACTCTTTTGATGACGTTTGATGTCAGAGCAAATGTTGATGAATAGTTACCTACGTCACAACTACTATGGGGTTTTCTCCCAGTGGGCTGACTATTCCTTTGCATGGGTACACAGACGATCTATCACTGGCTCTGTCTGCTTTATCTTTCCGAGCCCTGCAATAAGCCCTACATGAGCAGTGTTCTGACGCACCACATGTCGCATGATATCAAGCCTCTACTGATGTATTGTTCACTAACAGTGACAATGTTACCAGCACAAGCATAGACTAAGTTTCATATTATTCACACACACAGACATGTTTGTGTGTATGTGTGTTGTTATTGGGAGGGACTATCAGCATTTATGTCAGCGGTCACAAAGACAAAATACTGCAAGTACATAATAATCAGTCTAATCTGATAAAAACTGCTTCAAAGGTCGGGCACCATTCCCCCAAAATACAGTCATATTTCTATATATCTGCAAAATTTCAAAACATTACTGCTTCATTCAGGAGCAATGCTTCTGCGTCACCATGCTAACTGGACAAGTCAAAAAGAAACACAGCTGGAGTTACAGTCAGGGGGAAAACAATGATTTGAACCCCAGCTGATGTTGTCAGTTTGGCCAGCTGATCATTGCAGTGAGTAATCAGCCTGCTGTATATGAAAATAGATACTAACACACGCCTAGCTTGGCTAACTGCTAATCACCTACCTTTCCTTATGATGATTGTTTATCACTGCTTTAATGATTCTGATAGTAAAAATACACCCTAAGTGTCAGGAATCAAGCGAGCCCCTATCAGAAAGCACCTGGTGACAGTGGGAATGAAAAACTCCTTTTTAACAGGAACAAACCTCTAGTAGAACCAGGCTCAGGGAGGGGCGGGGCCATCTGCCATGATGGGTTGGAAATCTGAGACAGAAGAAGAAGAGCAAGAAAATGAACCATCATGAAAGGACAGGACCTGCACAGCATGCAGAAGAAGTGGCTTATGTTTAGAAGTTGCACCAATGGCTAGCAAAGCTGCACTGAAAGAAAGCACATGCATTAATCATGGCAGCACATAAGGCAAGAGCCCAGGTGCAGGCTGTGCAAAGATGCCCCTGAGACCATCCAGCACATAACAGCAGGGTGCAAGATGCTGGCGGGCAGGACACACGTGGAACGCCATAACCAAGTGGCCTGAAGCTGCAGGTTTTGTCACTCTCCATCCAAAATTCACTGAATCAGCAGCAAAAGAAGGTCCAAGCTACGCTTCACGTTTGATAAACATGAATTGACTCTTCAATCACACTTCATGCACTGTCTCTCTCAGTGCAACAAGAACAGTTTCTCATCTCAAATCTCTGTTCTGCGCATTTTTCGCTTGCTTGTTGTGCACCAGTCTACCGTTGCTTACAGCGCAGTCGGACGCTGTTTTGTTTATGTTTTGTTATTTCAAAAATGACCTCCAACAAGAAAGTTCAATACCGAAGAAATGTAAACGTTTTAAAATGATGCCAAATCACAAACTGCTTAGCTGTGTCTGTAATCAGACCTCTGTACCTTTGCTCTGCTTCACTTCAGCAGCATCAGGTAAAGTGACAGAGAGAATCATATGTTGATTCATGGTTTTCTTCAGTTTTTGATCTGCTGTTGAATATTTTCAAGGCAGTTTCTTTGTTTATTATTTACTGTGTTTCTGTGTGCTTGCGTGTTCCTCTTTGTTTTCTGTCACAATGTATTTTATTGATATCCCAGTTTGTGTTCTTCTACGGCATCTATGACTCACAGGCAAATATGACAGCAGGTGGTGCGTGATGTAATACGGGCCACATATAAGTGTGTTCTCTGTCTGCTGACTCTACCTGAGGACAAAGCAAAATTAGGAAACGCGAAACATTGCAAACTGGACCCCCGCTGGGTTTTGAGGTGTTTCAAGATGTCTAAATATGCACACTGAAAATGTTTACCGGGCTTTAGAGAGTGCAGGAGCTAAGTTATTGTCTTTAGGATAATTCTCTGATCACTGAAGATTTTATTACCAGGTTTTATTCATACTAACTAAACATTCAGTTGGATAAGCACAACACAATCGTTGTGTACTTCTATGACTGGTAGGTAGAGTATGTCATCACCAAGGTCCAAGCTCCCGCTTCTTCTGTATGGGATCCTCCTGTGCAGCGCCTCTGCTCCGCTTCCAGTTATCAGCCGGACGAGACAAACGGTACGAAGCGCCGGATCACTGGTTTCACCCAGCAGCAACATCTGGGACAAGAGGGAAGTGACAGCGAAAGACGGAGAATACCTGCTGGGCATAAAGAGACTGAGAAGGCTTTACTGTAACGTGGGCATTGGTTTCCACATTCAGGTCTTACCCAATGGGAAGATCACGGGCGTGCACAATGAAAACAGATACAGTAAGTAATTTTTCCTTTCCCTGATTCATCACCTTTATCATTTGTTGCTATGAAAAGAACAAATATAAAGACACAACTATCTCAAAGGTTTGGTCGAGTGATTTCTGCGTGGATTGAGGAGACTGCTTGTTGCATGCAAACATACTGTACATTATTATATTCTTCTGTTTTGTATCTCTACATCAAAAGATAAGAAATCATGCAGTTGCATTATGTTAATAAATAGCTTTAAAAAAAAAAGAATTCCTGCTGACACTCAGAAAAATGAAGTCAGGTTTGCAATAAACTTGAAAACAATGGCCAGCAGGGGGCGGGTTTTCTGCAAAAAGTCTAATTATGTTGTCTATAAGAAAATCATTGGAATCAGTGACACGTGTTATTTAATAAATGTTTGTAAATTATTCTCCAATAATGAGGAAATTGTTTCTCAGTCTGTCAGTCAGATCAGCACATCGGCTGAAGAAATATGACACGAACCCAGAAGTCGACGTGATTTCATGTTCAAATGTTCCCAGAACACTTTAGAGCGACTGAGTTGGAGTTCAGGAGGCAGAGCGACACATGCGAAAGTGTCCTTTAACAAAATACTGAACCCCAAAATGAATCTGTGTATGTGTGTGAATAATACATTAATGCCTGTGTTAATGCGTGCAGTGAAAAGCACTTTAAGCTTTCAGTTAAAGTAGAAAAGTTCTTTATAAGCACCAGTTTGTTCACTGGCCTCCAGATGTTGCCTCACAGAACAGAGCAGAACCTTTAACCCAGTCTCCACTTATATCATCCCCACAGCCCCATTTATAAACCAGGCTTATAATTAGTTTTGAATTCAAATATGATCTTTGCAGTAAACTGTGTGTAAATAGATATTTATAAAACGTATCTGATCTCAAAAGCAAAGTGATCTTCCTGC